CTACACTTCCACCTTTAGATGTACTAACCTATCTATACATCTGAATGAATTAACAGTGAAGAGCTACTCCAGGCTGCAGGTGGAAGACGCCATGAAAGATTCCAAAGTGAAACACTTTTTGTTCTTTACTCCTGAACAAGACATTGATGACCCAACAGGAGAAATACAAAGACTACAAAACCAGGTAAGAAGAAGACATACTATTGGTCAATTTGAGCCGGTTATATTAACATGCCCAATCACATAGCGGCATGAGATTTGCTTGTATTTGGAAAACTCCTGGAACTCGTAGTTTTACCACTTCCCCTCACATCCCCCACAGTTAAAAATGATATCTGCATATTTTTTCGTAACCAAGTTCCTCTCACTGATGTTGTTTTCAGTGTCACGATCTTCTGGTGGATCACCAACATGATCTCATCCATTGGTTCCACAAGGCTCAATCACGTGACCTAACCACGTGGTTCTGTCGCAATAGGGTGCTTGTTAATGAGAATCAAGGTGCGTGGTCCTAAATTTGCCACAAGTCGACCACTATAGCGTCTTTTCGAAATAGAGTACAAGGATTATTTTTGTGAGAAACAAAATCGTGGTCGACTTGTTTCCCTGCAGGAAGTTCAGTTGTTATAATACATGTATAGCGCGAAGCAGAAATAGAAAGTCCTCAGTCCCACGACTACTGCCTAATCAAAGCACACCCTACATTGGTTACAAACTGGTTATATATACAATGGTCTTGACGGGCATATCAAGGGATATCCCACGAGGCACTTTTATTTTCTAGTATTTTATCCCACACCAATAAGAATACAACTAGGCCGCAATACCTGATGTGAAGGAACAKTGAAATACCGCCAAATATACAATTGCTTTACTGCATTCTGATTGGCTATATTTTCAATGGTTTGGGATAAAAGTAATAAAATAACTATAGTAAATAATTATAAATTCTAGACCCTAACCTGTGTGCTAATGAACATTATCATAGATATTCTGTTTTTATATCTATCCTCCTAGATTGTCTCAATCAGGAAATACCCACCAAAAGAAAGAAAAAACAAGTGGCACAAAAAGAAAACAATGACAAAGAGAACAGCAGTGAAGTGGAGAAAACCAATAATGAGACAATCGAACACCAAGAACTTTAAACCAAGTTAAAACTAAACAGAAAACCGATCAGACCGAAATCAACAACGAGGCAACTACTGATAGATTACGGAAGATCATGGGTTCTAATCCCATCCGGGACTCCGATTTTTTGCCGAGTTTCCTTGTGGTTGATTTCTTTCTCATCGGGTTTCTATTTATATAGTATGATGTACTCTATAAATAGAATTAAACACGTTTATTATCTTATCGTTATGTTTTATTATAAAAGTAAAATTGAAAATCTATATTCCATTATTATTTCGTAATAAACATGACTAAAATAATTTAGAAAAAAAGACAGCGTGTTTGTCTGAATAATGCTTGTTCAGTGGACCTCTAGCTTGGGTGTAGTTTTCCCATTTCAGGTGTCATTCACTAGAGACTATAAGATTTTTTATTTGAGTTGTATCCATATCTGTGTGTTTTCCCATGCGTAAATTAAGCAAAGTCATTATACTCTAGGGAATGACACGTGGTATAAAATGTATTTTTACACACATTTTGAGAACTTATAGACCACTTTCAAAATTATCTTGAATGCAAGGCTAGCAAAAAATATAATGGCACAAATTGCAACAACAAAAAGTGTGTTTTTCAAGTTTTTTCTTTTACCCTCGAATCCAAGACAACTTCGTGTCATGACGTACCTTCAGTTTGACGCGTCTGCACACGAACTTGTAAACAGCATTAAAAAGGCATCAAATACAACAATGTTTTAGAGTCAGTAGACTTCGTAATGCAGTGCATCTTGGGAAGGTTATGACGTCATTATGTCGAAACCCAGAAGCTCAGGGCCCGATATACCCTCTTCAAGATATAAAAATATTGATCAATTGACTATGAAAAATTTACAAATGATTGATTCTAAGTATATATAGATTCTATTCTCCATCCATATATGCGGGATTATTGTATTGTCCATGATTGGTCAGTRCAGAGAACAAGCAACGCCTGGCTAATAACTCTTGTCTGGTGCCTTGTTCAAGTACGCGCCCGCGGTACACCAAAGCGATCTTGTCAGCAGAGTCAACCGTCTCCCGTTGCCTGGCAACGATTAGTCGCGTCCGACCACGTGATAAATTTTGAATAGCCTCGTCTAATTCCTAAAAAAGTATAACATGTTT